CTAAGAGAGAAATTCGACAAGAGATACAGATTTTCGTATAATTTACTGAGTAGTGATAGCTAAATTATCCAAGAGTAATAGATGAAAATCGTGAAAGTTGCATCCCAATTCTGCCCTATGAACATAAAAAAGATTCTAACCCAGAGCAGACTTGTATTCGTCTCCGTTTATCACTCTTGATTGGCTTTTAATCAATGAATTAGGAGTCCAAGAGTTAATATATTACCTTGACCAAATATTCCCCCTTATGGTCCAAGGGAATACATTTAAAACGACTTTGGTAGTGAAGCTTTTGCTTGTAAGTCCTCACGTGCTACATTTTAAACCCAGCTGCGTACAAGAGTGAGATCTTGACGAGATCAAGACTGTAGTTTAACGGTGATAAAGAAGCTCTCTGAGATGGAAATAAGAGTTGAATTTGACAGAAGTAAGCAAGTGTATGACACCTTTTCAAAAGTGAAATAAGGTCTTCTTCACGCTTTTTCAGAGTATTTAAATTATCGTTAAATGAATGAACAATTGTTGCCGAGTGCTGGATCTCCTTTTATGTTGGCAGAAATGCATATTCCCCTTTTGTCTACAGAGTCATCGCTGTCCATGCTTTCATTTAATGAGTGACCTACATAAAATATTCAAGCTATTGTCCACATAAACAACTCAGAAGTGCGTTCCCATCAAACGCCTTTTTCTACAGACAAGTAAATTAAATTATGAAGTGACTCGACAGCCAACTCACCTGCTTACATAGAAGGCTCTTTTAAACCATTCAAAGAGACCAGAGCCATGGCTTCTTCATAACTTGGAAGAATCGCATCCTCAGGAGCTAATGTTAATGCAGCCTCCGGCATTGGTATCCCTCTGGGAGACAGGAAAGGGGGTATATCTGCAGACGCAGTCAAACCTTCGTCACCTAAATCCCCTGTATCTGAACCAACAAATTCTCTTCCCCATGCACTCTCTCTCGTTCCTCTAATCCTGCTGAGGCCTCTTCCTCCACCAGCCCAATCACCGCCTCTATTCCTACTCTGGTCCCACGTGCCTCGGCCTTCATTTTCTTGCCATGGCGAAACAAAAAAGATACCACGAGCACTTCTGCCACGTCGACCGCCTACTCGTATCCTGCCCTCTACTGTCCGACCGCCACGGAACCGATTCGAATTCATCCGACGCCGACCACTCGGTGCTATGAAGCTAGGAAAAGTCCTCCGGTTAGATGAGATTGTCTCTGGGTTCGAGGGCTCATTAGGATAGCGTTCGCCCATAAGGTTTGGAATCGAGGTTTGAGGTCTCATGAACCGTTTAGAGGAATTTCCTCGCGACAGCAGAAAGCGTGACCCAGCGGATCGTGACAAATAGGGATGTCTCGAGTTTTGACCAACAACATCTTTGTAGGCTGGCGGTAGAGTATCCGACAAACTAAGAAAGAAAACACAAAGTAAATTAAAAGCGGATTCACTAAAAAGTAATAAAAAATATATTTATTGGCAAATTATGCTGATTGGAACAGCCAGTGGGCTCATGTAGATAATACCATAAAAAAGTAAAAGCAAACTAGGTTCCAGAGTCTGGCCAAGTTTAGGTGCCTAGTCTTAGGCTAAAATGGATTTATTGCGTTTCAAAAATGTATTAAATTATAATGAAATATCACTTATAATTTAATAAAAACCAATTCAAAGTCAATCGTATCCCGAGTCCTCCTTGGGGTACTGATGAGACCAGTTCAGGGGAAGTCGAGACTGCAGTCCACTCCAGGCGAGAAATCTTTTAGAAAACAAGGCTATGGGCAATTCAATGTTAACATGAGGCCTACTCACATTATTGCGGTAAAATTCAGTCACCAGTCTTTGATCAGATTGAAAAAAATAGTGAATACAACTCTTTTGATGCTCCTTTGGTTTCCAATGGTACCAATTCATGAATTACGTCCAGCCAACTTTTCCTTCAAAATTGAAAGTCGTCACAATATTCAGTAACGCCGAGTCTAACTGCCTATCAAAGTGTAATAAGGTTCAAATGAAAATAATTAATTGAAGGTATGAAGACCAAGATGGTGTGGTCTTTTGTGTGGTCGCAGTCTCCTTTCGTTCTACTGAAGTTGTTTGACGTTTTTTCGCAACTAGGTCACATTGGTAGGAAGACTTAGAGGAGCGCACCTTGTCC